GGTCCTTCACTTAGTATGGTCATGTCCAGGTCCATCCATGTTGCTGGAAAAGGCATTATTTCATTCTTTATTTATGGCTAAGTCACATTCCGTTGTATATATGTACCACATCTTCTTTACCCATCCATGCATCCCTCTGACAATAGACATTTTGGCTCCTTGCATGTCTTGGCTATTGTAAATAGTGCTGCAGTGAACGTTGGGGTGCAAGTGTCTTTTCAAATTATGGTTTTCCTCCACACAGAGGCCCAGAAGTATGACTGACAGATGTGGTAGCTCTAGTTTTTTAAGGAACCCCCGTATCATTTCCCCATCATGACTGTTAACAATTTATCTTCCCAAAAACACTATAGGAGGATTCCCTTTTCTCCATGCCGTCTCCAGAATGTATTGTTTGTAGACTTTTTGGTGATGACTGTTCTGACTGGTGTGAGGTGATATGATACCACCTTGTAGTTTTGATTTGCAGTTATCAAATAATTAACAATGTAGAGCATCATTTTAAATGCTTTTTTCAAAGAAAAACAAAAATATCCAAAAAGCATATGTTGACTTTACCTCTCAAAACTGGCTTCTTGAAGGTCCTCCCTGTTTAGCATTTTTTCAGTTACCTACTCCAGAACATTTCTGGAGGCCAGATGTCTTTTACAGCCTCGCAGGCCTTGTGACTATGAAGTACCCCCAGCACAGGTTTTCAAGTTGTTGTTACAGGAAATGTCCACAGGCGACAGCACTTCTTGATGCCCCATTCAGGTTATTTGAGCAACAAGCGTCAGAGATAAAGTTGTGTTCCTGGTTTGTAGATTCCAGTGGAATGGGCCAGAAAAAAGACCCCAGGGCTTATGTCTGGGTACTACTTTTCCCTTACCATGTACCCCCAAGACAATCCCAAGCCCTCCCATAACTGAGATGCTGAGGATACTGTCGTACCTAAGTGGGGTGACTCCAAGGAAGGGGCTGCCGGGGGAGCAGCAGCACCAGGAGACTTGGAGACCAGGTACTTTTCTGAGCTCTTGTGGCCCAGAGGTCCACTGTCCTTCTGTGCAGTAGGCTTGGCTGAGCTGTAGGAGGACCCACCTGCATCTGGAGGTTGGAGTCCCGTCCACGTGGGATGGGGCAGTCCAGGTCCAAATGGGGTTCGTTTGCAGGCCCGTCCTCCCCAGCCTCTTTATTTCCACCACAGTGGAGCCCTCTGGACCCAAGGTTCCTCAGGCTCCAAGGACGTGAGAGCAGCCCAGGTCACCAAGGCCCGAGGGAAGTATCACTGACTTGTCTTTATTTTTCTTTTTAGATTGTTTATTTTATATTGGAATGTAGTTGACTTAGAGCGTTGTGTTTATTTTAGGGGTACAGCCAATTGATTGATTTATACATATACATAAAATCAATCTTTTCTGGGTTATTTTCCCATATAGGTTATTACAGAGCATTGCGTTCCCTGTGCCATACAGCAGGTCCTTTCTGATTACCTGTTTCACATGTATCACTGGGTACAGGTTAATCCCAGCTGCCTCCTAACTTATCCCTCCCTCCCCACCACCCACCTTTTCCCTTTGGGGACCATGAGTTTGTCTTCTAAGCTTGTGACTCTGTTTGTGTTTTGATAGGCTGTGTGTCATTCTCTGACTTCATTTGCTTAGTATGATCATCTCCAAGTTAATCCATTTTGCTAGGAAAGGTATTAGTTCAGTTTTTTTCCAATCACCGAGTCATAGTCCATTGTATAATGTGCCATATCTTGTTTATCCATTCGTCAGTCAACGCATCTTTTGGTGGTTTCCATGTCTTGGCTGTTGTAGATAGTGCTCCAGTGAACATCGGGGTGCATTTGTCTTTGGGAATTTGTTCTGAAAAAGTCTTCTTTCTGGTTATAAAAGTAACAAATCTGTTGGAAGAAATTGGAAGAATCAGAAGGGGAAAGTCCAGAGAAAGAAATCATCCCACCAGTAGGAATATGAACTAATGTCCACTTCAATAGGTAATTGTTTAACTATCTGGCAATCAAAATTTTGATGAAAATGGAGTAGAAATGATTTTCAAGTTAGGTTTTTATCAAAATCATACTGATTGTAGATTTCACACTGCTTATATTACTGGCATTAGGCCAAATGAGTATCTTTTTTTACACATCAGACCTCCATCTCTCACATTCCTTATGAGTCTTCCTAGTTCCTACTTGAATACTCTTAGCACATCATGCTGTTTTTTCCCCCAAGACATCAGTTCCAGACTTTTCACTTTCCTGGGTTCTTAAATGGAGCCCTCAATTCTAGATGTGTATTACAGAGTCATGCTTCTCAGACTATCAGTGGTGAAAGTCCAGGATGGCCAGGTTAGGTGGCTGGTTAAATTTTTAACATGTCACTGACCAATATATGTGATTCTACCAAAGCACAAGACTCTATATAGCTCACCCCTTGCCTCTTCAGTTCAGTAATACCCAGTCTTATGCCTTAGTCAGTGAGACAAGTCTGAAAATCTTATCCTTGGCTATCCGGACAGTGTCTTAGTACTATAAAAGATTCCAAACCCTACCCTCAGATTCTGCCCGTACCTCATCATGACCCTGAAGCATACTTCACATCCTATTAGAATGAAGCCCAGCAGAGCGCTGGTACCTTTTGATCTTTCTTAAGAGCTATTCCCCTTGGTGGTTGATCATTCAATGAAAGCTCTCACCTGTATTATGATTTTTACTCTGATAGAAGTCCTATCACAGCATTTGCTGTTTTTCTTCGTTGCTTCTTAAAACCTCTTCACTTACCCTTCCCCCTGCTGTGGTTGCCCATGCTCTTGTTCCAGAACTAGCTGGCTTCTTTCTACCATGAAGCCAGGGCTCAGGGACGGCAGTGGTACATTTGGACCCGAACAAGTCGTCATGAAATCCCACGGATTTCCACCGCCTCTTGTGGTGGTGGTTTAGTCATGTCCGACTCTTCTAGGATCTCATGGACTGTAACCCGCCAGGCTCCTCTGTCCATGGGATTCTCCAGGCAAGAATACGGGAGTGGGTTGCCAGTGCCGTCTCCAGGGGATCTTCCTGACCCGGGGATCAAACCCACGTCTCCTGCATTGGCAGGTGGGTCCTTTACCACTGAGCCACGAGGGAAGCCCACATTACCTGTTAGGAAGCGCTAAAACGGAGCAAGTCTTCCCTTTGTCTGTCGCCCGATGAAGTGTGACCTGAGGTGGAGACTTGGGCATGCGGTTGAAATGTGAGGATGCTGTGAGACCACTATGTGGGCGGTGTGCAAATGGGCTATTCCACAGTATCTGTAAAGAATGCGCCCTTGCGGTTAAATGTGTGCTGCCTCTATGATTGCTTAGTCTTTTCCTCCAAACACAAGGAAAGATAATAGGATTTCATTTCTGGGTAATATACCAGATTGCTGAAGCTTTAATGAGGAAGTCACTGAATTAATTAACATGTCAATATTCAGAAAATAAAATTATCTTAATTGGGGGTGGGGGGACGTGAGAAACATACACACTTGGCTACAAATAACTGCTATGACTTCGGGTAAGAAACCACCTGCACACAGTCATTATCCTACTGTTTCCTGTAGACCTTCTCTGGGCCAGGCGATGTGCCGAGAGCTCGGCCGTCTTGTCTCAGTCACTCTTCACCCTGTCCAAGCGGCACGATGACATGCACCAGTGAGGAAACAGGCTTAAGAGACAGTCGCAAGCCCACAGAACCCTATGGTGAAGCTGCTAGAAAGAGCTGGGAGCTGCTCTCAGAGCCCCAACTCGTCAGCAGCACTTTATCCTCTACATCAGCCACAAAGCCTGCTGAGGGTATCAACCAGAGCTTGGCAGTCTTCACTTAAAAGTTGCTCAAGGCTTCCCAGGATGCTGAAATAAAATCCAAGCTCCCCACACTGGCCTGGTGGCCCCATTACGTGACCACGCTCAGGGCACCTCTCTTTTCCTTGCTCACAGGGCCTTAGGGCCTCCAGTTCTCCCACCTAGAAAGTGTCTGTGGTATTGGGCACCCGGGAAGGGGGTTCAGGAGTGTCTGCTACATAACTGCTTTGAGCTTCACCACAGAAACCACCACATCCTCACCACCATCCAAGAAGAGCCAGGAGTGAGGAAACAGTCCCAGAGACAGGCCCCCATCTCAGAGCCCCTCCTGGTTGGTAAGCATAGCAGTGAACACCGGACCAGGGGGTCTGCCTGGAAACTTACTAGCAGGCGGCCCTTGGCACAGGCCTGTACTTCGGGGCTGTGGAGTCTTGCCTGGGCGGTCGGCAGTGCGGGGAGATGGAGCCTGGGAACGCTTTCAGAGAAGCAAGCCTCTTGTTCCCAAGGCTCCAACCATTTTCAAAGTTCTGACTTCATTCCGAAGCACAGTTTAATTGTCAAATACAGTGGCGTTGCGTGTGCCCATGTGTCTCACATTTGGGCTCACTTCACTTTTATCTTATTTAATTTGTTGTAATAGTGTCTGAAACTAATTTCTCGACTGTAAATATCACAGCTGTTGTGGAAAGCATTAATTGCATGCTATCACGTCACCGTCCTTCCTTGGATCAATTTATGTGTAATCTGTTTGCAAGTTCTATTACTGCACATATTAAGGGAACGCAACATGAAATAATCTAACCAAACACATTGGAAACATTTGTACTGAAATGGCTGGATGGTTTGGGGTTTGGAAATATTCTCGTTGGTGGCAGACATTGAAAGAATGCTTTTGAAAAGGCCGACCCCAGAAGTCTCGATGCTGAGTGAAATATGGATAATTTTTCTTCGGTGGGATCAATAAAATAACTATTTTCAAAATGACTTTATATTGACTGAAAGGTCAGAAATGCCCTAGGCATTGATCTCTTGCCTATAATCACCTTTTGTTTAGTAAGTTAACTGCTCTGCCCACAGCAAATGCAAAGAAATCCAGTTCATCATTTAAACAAAATGTTTTTTAAAACATCTGACGTCCTCCCAGCCATCACTGCCTGTTGGCGTCTCACAGGGATGCCCTTTTCTTTGTCTAGGAGGTGGATCTCTACAGAATGAACAGCCAGGACAAGCTGGGTCTCACAGTGTGCTACCGGACAGATGATGAAGACGACATTGGCATCTATATAAGCGAGGTATTGAGGTGCACTTTTTGTAACTATCATAGCAGGACACAGAGGCTGTATTCTTTCTTTCCTTCTACTGTGTTGAGCAGCTCTGGCTTATTGAGATGTCTTTGGAAAGACACAGGCAGATTTCTTTGTCCCCTTTATCACATTCCATGGTACTACCCTACATAGGGGTCAAGTTCTAATGTTGGCGCGTAAGGCAAAATTACCCTTCAGAAGCCTGCAAATCGGCCATAAAATGGAGCCGTTTGCTTGGTTTTGTGTATTCAACCCCGAGGGAAAAGCAGCCTCCCATTTCCCATCTCCAGTTCACTGAGTGGGGTGGGGGAGGGAGTCGTTTACACTTTTTCAAGTATTTCTGTTATCTGTTTCTCTTGATTTTTTTTTTCTTTTGCTAGACTGTGTATCACTGAGTTCACAGTGCCACTTCAAAGTATTGGGTTGGCCCAAAATTCACTTGGGTTTTTCCATCAGATGCCATGGAGAAGCGCAAATGAACTTTTTGACGAACCCAATACATAGACGGAAGTTATTTTCATCTTCCCAGAGAAGCCAATACAAAGCAGATGATTTCAGTATGGATACCTCACCATACAGCCCATCTTTACTAGCACACAAGCCCCATTCTATCAGGAAATAAAATCCATCTTGATGGGATGAACCAAAGGATGTGACTACTAGGCTTTCTACCCATCCCGTTGAGTAGACTTCGTCCACTAAGCTTAAGCTGGCCCACCACTGCTGAATTTGGGGGTATCTCTCTTAAAGTGCAATGCCACTTGTCTCAGCTAGATTCTGTTTGTAAAGCTCCTTTCCAAAATTTAATATACACATTTGGCAAAATAATGAAAATATGGCTGCTAGACCACATAATGAAAGGTAGTCTTTCACCTGTAGGCCAGCATACTTTTGCTTTTCCTTTCTGGGTGGAACAGCTGTTACCTGTGCCTCTGCATCCCCTCAGGTGGGCAAGAGTCCAGGACCATGGCCTGCAAAGGGCTTGGAAATGTATCAGTCCATGTTTGTGTCTCCTGGCACAACACTGGAGTCTTGTTTATTTCTCTGTAAATCAAAAACAGAGGGATGAGCATGATGGCGTGTTAGACAGAGGCAGACTTTGGACAGTGCTCTTGTTTATTTTCGTGCATGTCTGAGTTACCCACCTGGTGCCGTGTGTTTCAGATTGACCCTAACAGCATCGCGGCCAAGGACGGGCGCATCCGAGAAGGAGACCGCATTATCCAGGTAGGTCAGTGTCCTCTGTCCCTTCACTGAAGAGCAGACTGCTTCAGATCGTAGCTTTAGGGTTAAAATGCAGAAGTTAACAAATAGCTATCAGTGTCGCAAAACTAGATGTGTGGTGAGGCAGACCAGTTAAATTAGGGCCGAAGTCCCAGCTCTGGAAAACACCAGGACACAGCGCATGGCGGGGCCTGAGACAAACCGGAGAGAGGAGGCCCCATCTAAACAGGCAAGCCGCCCCCGCGCCTTACAATACAAGTCAGCTTGTCTCACTTCCTGTCCTCTCTGGACCAAAGACAACACAGGCCAAATCAGGTCAACAGTTCTTGTGACCCCAAATAATGCTCATTCTAGCTTTCTCTGAAGGATTCATTTTGGGCCAAGCATTTCAACTTTAAGCAGTCTTTTAAACCTTCTGACTCAGCAGGTAACTACTATATAGAATGGTTTTTAAGAGTACTTTATCTGTAAACCGATATCTGTTGCTCTTTGGAGTTGAAATGAGGCCATCTGAATATAGAGACACAGATGTAGAGAATACATGGATCTCAAGGGGGAAGGGGAGGATAGAAGAGATTGAGAGACTGGGATAGACACATATACACCATTGATACGAGGTATAGAATAGAGAACTAATAAGAACCTCCTGTAAAGCACAGGAAACTGGACCTGCTGCCCTGTGGCGGCCTAGATGGGACGGGAGGTACGTATGTGCACTGCTGAGTCCTTCTGCTGTGCGGTGGGAGCTAACACGACGTTTTAAAGCAACTCTGCTGCAATAAAAATTAACGTAAAATAAACCATTTGTTCCTCTTGCAGCTAGTCTGTTTTTAATTGTTAAAAAAATTAAAAACCAAATAACATCTTTTGTTGATGTGTGGTTGCTTTAAAATGTGTTCCTTTATGGTTTATTACAGGATATTGAATACAGTTCCCTGTGCTATACAGTAGGACCCTGTTATTTTAGCCGTTCTATATGTATGTATCATGTATACAAACTTCTACAACCCATTCCTCTCCTGGCCAAATAGCAGTCTATTCCTACATCTCTGAATCTGTTTCTGCTTTATAAATAGCTTCATTTGTGTCATATTTTAGATACCACATAGAAGCCATCATACGGTATTCATGTCTCTCTCTCTCTCTCTGACCTACTTCACTGAGTATGATAATATCTATTAATAGCTGCATCCATGTTGCTGCAGATGGCTTATATTTCATTCTTTTCATGGCTGAGTAATATTCCATTGTATGTAAGTACCACCTCTCTACTGTTTATCTGTCAAAGACTTTTATTGGCATTTAGTTCTTCACAATGTTGTTTGTTTCTGCTGTATAGCTATACATACACATACATCCCCTGTGTCACCACAGGGCACTGAGTGTTGTGTGCTGTAGGTACTCACTCATTACCTATCTCATACATAGTATCAACAGTGTGCATATCTCAATCCCAATTCATCCCACCCCACCCCTTCCCCTCTTGGTGTCCATTCATTTGTTCTCTACATCTGTTTCTCTACTACTGTATTGCAGATAAGTTCATCTCTACCATTGTTCTAGTTCCCACAGGCATGAATTAATATGTGACATTGGTTTTTCTAACTTACTCTATATGACCATCTCTAGGACCTCCAAATGACAAGCATCTACCACTGGGTGTGGAAACCCTGAGTTCCTTACCTGCCCTCTCTGCCTTCACTGTGCTGCAGAAGCCACACTTCCCCTTGTTAACCAAGATCCATGATGCCCTTTGCTGTTATAAGACGTAAGACTCAGATGGAAGGCTCAATCTTCCAGCTCCTAAGTGGGACCACTGCTGTGGCCCCTGGAGCTGAGACCTCCAGACAAGCAGAGCTCAAAGGTGCCAGGACAGGAAGCAAAAATCCTGCAAGAGAGGGATCAGGTGTGACAGTGAGATTGTATAATACTGTTGTATATATATTGTATATATACAAGTATTGTATAATACTGTTTATGTGTGTAACCTAGAAAAATGGTACAGATGAACTTATCTGACTTTATGTCCCACCTAAAGAAGTTGGTGTCAAACTTGGAACACAAAACACCCTAAATAATTCTATCATATTCGCATCAGACCATTGCTTCTTTTTCAAAAATATCGGTAGTCGTGCTTGAGTATATTTAATTCTGCAATTATGTTAAATTGCTTAGATGTTTTCCCTCCTCACAACACTGCGGTCTCTCTCAGTGCTGCCTTTTGGAGTCCCAGTTACTCCTGTTCACACCGCTCATGTTGTGAACTACTCCTCTGGAGGCTGTCTCCTACAGCAAGAGTGCACCAGACTGAACCAGGCCTTTCCTTGTGAAAACCAGCCTTCTTTTCAGCCTGCCTGAAGTTCTCTGTTCCAGCTGTGCTTGGGCAATGGATACAGGCTTGAAACAGTAGAGAAGTGTTTTGCACAATCTAATCATGCTACCGTCCACCCCTCCACCTTTTTCTTGTAGATTAATGGGATAGAGGTACAGAATCGTGAAGAGGCTGTGGCTCTGCTAACCAGTGAAGAAAACAAGAACTTCTCACTGCTAATTGCCAGGCCCGAACTCCAGGTAAGGTGGCTTCCAGCATGTAGTCTGTAGTTCTAAAATCACTAACGGAGTTCCTGCCCTGCAGAAAATATATTAAATCAGAACTTGAAGGTACCGTGTGCCCTGAAAAGGTAATCTGACTTTCAATCTATCTCTTGCTTTGGCCTTTTAAGGATGGTGAAGATTTCCACCTTGGCATTTACACTGCATGCCCAGGAGCTTCATTAATGCAGGGAGTGCAATGCAGGAAAAGAGGAGGAAACATAACAGCATTAAAACAACACAGCCAGGGTCATGCCCATCAAAATGTTTGACTGCCCCAGACCCTGACCACTTCTGTGTGGGTCTCATTTACAATGGCAGAGTGTGAGAAACGTACAGCATAATCAACACTGTAATGACTACTGGAAATTTGCTAGGAGTAAAGTTCAGGTATTCTCATCACACACACTAAATAGTAACTGTGAGATGATATGTTAATTGACTGTAATCATTATTCCACTATGCACATCAAATCGTCACGATGTACATCTTACCCGTAATACAGTTTTTACTTTTAAAAAGCAAAAGAAACATTACTAAGCAGACTTTTTCTTAAAGGGCCAAGTAAGAAATGTGACTGGATTTGGGGGTTGTGTATGGTCGGAGGTGCAGCTGCAGGCCAGATCAGTAGATCTCAGACCCCTGACTAGTCTGCTCTTTACGAGCAAAAGAGACAAGAGCCTGATAAAGGTGGCAGGCCCTTGCCCAAGACTAATAGGTAGTTAGCAGACCTGCCTTTGTTGTCCCGAACTGCCAGTGCTTTCTCTTTGGGTGCGGGCCTGCCAGCGGGAGAGGAGCCAGGGCTGCGGCCCTCTGGCCCCCTAACTCGGTGGCCTCCTGCGCAAAGGCACTTAGCCCTGCAGCAGCTAAAGCGGGCCGCCCCTGGACGTGCGGTGTAGGCGGGAGGGCCTCTACCTGGAGGATGGGGTCAGTGACGTCCGGAGAGTCAAACAGCAGGCAGACCGCACTGGGATGACTCCTGGAGGAAGCCTAGAAATGTGATTCCCCGAAATAATGTCCTTTCCTAAAAACAACTAAAAGGGAAGCACAAAGGGCCTCTTCTGAAGCCCGTGCGGGCGCCTGCCTCTCCCCAGCTGGACGAGGGTTGGCTGGATGACGACAGGAACGACTTTCTGGATGACCTGCACATGGACATGCTGGAGGAGCAGCACCACCGGGCCATGCAGTTCACGGCCAGCGTCCTGCAGCAGGTACCACTGCCCGCCCCTCCCCCGCAACAGCAGGGAAATCTGCCCCCCACCCCCACCCCATGATGCTTAGGAGCCTGAGAAACCCACCTGCTGGCAAAAGAAAGTAAGTGCTTTTCTGTTTGCCCACCAATGAAAAGCAAGCTGATACCCTCCCAGACCAAGAGAGTGCTGCTGGGCTTAGAAAGCAAAGCAGTAATGCCAAGGCACCGCCGACCTTCTGAGACTTGTTTGGAAAACAGTGTGCCAAAATAAAGAGCAGATCAGGGAAAACAAGTCACATTTTTGAAAGGAAAGCAGTTCCCTCTGTTTAACCTCAGCTGCTCGGCACCTTTTCTCCTCCCTTCTCTGTCACCACCATCGTCAGAGAGGCTGGGACCTCTCCAGTGCCTTAGGCACTCAAGGATGTCCTCTGTGCCTCCTGCTTCCTGGTAAGAGGTTCTGGAAGAGCCGCCGTCATTCACTAGGTCAAGTGATCATCCTCCTTTCCCAGAAGGAGGTGAAGCGGCTCACCTAGGGGAACCTCAAGCGAACTACCTCAGCAACCCAAGTCCCTCCTACCGGAAAAGCCTCCCTCCCCGTGACCACGTGTTCTTGTTTTCTGTCGTGTAGAAGAAGCACGAGGAGGACGGGGGAACCACAGACACGGCCACCATCCTGTCCAACCAGCACGAGAAGGACAGCGGCGTGGGCCGGACGGACGAGAGCACGCGCAACGACGAGAGCTCGGAGCAGGAGAACAACGGCGACGATGCGCCCGCGGCCTCCCCGCCGCTGGCCGGGCAGAGAAAGCTCACGTGCAGCCAGGACACCCTGGGCAGCGGCGACCTGCCCTTCAGCAACGAGTCCTTCATCTCGGCCGACTGCGCCGACGCCGACTACCTGGGCATCCCCGTGGACGAGTGCGAGCGCTTCCGCGAGCTGCTGGAGCTCAAGTGCCAGGTGAAGAGCGCCGGCCCCTGCGGCCTTTCCTACCCCGGCGGCGCCCTGGACGCCAGCAAGAGCGACCCCGAGAGCGTGGACAAGGAGCTGGAGCTGCTCAACGAGGAGCTGCGCAGCATCGAGCTGGAATGCCTCAGCATCGTGCGCGCGCACAAGATGCAGCAGCTCAAGGAGCAGCTCCGCGAGCCCTGGATGCTACACCACAGCGGCTTCCGCAACTACAACACCAGCGCCGACGTGCGCCGGCGGGAGCTCGCCGACATCACCGAGCTGCCCGAGAAGTCCGACAAGGACAGCTCGAGCGCCTACAACACCGGCGAGAGCTGCCGCAGCACCCCGCTCACCCTGGAGATGTCCCCCGACAACTCCCTGCGGAGGGCGGCCGAGGGCGAAGGTGCCGCGGAAGCCTACGGGCCGTCCCCCAAGAACCTGCTCTCCATCACGGAAGATTCCGAGGGGGGCTCCCCGAACTACAGCCCTTCCCCGAAAGAGCTGGATCCCAGCCCGGCTCCGGAGAGCAAAGAGAGGAAGCCCGGGGAAGAAGACGACGGCGGCGGCAGCCCCACCCCGAAGCTGGGCGGCTCCTACCTGCCGCCCTTCCCGCACTCGCCCTACAAACACGCGCACATCCCCGCGCACGCGCAGCACTACCAGAGCTACATGCAGCTGATCCAGCAGAAGTCGGCCGTGGAGTACGCGCAGAGCCAGATGAGCCTGGTGAGCATGTGCAAGGACCTGAACTCGGCCAACCAGTCGGAGCCGAGGATGGAGTGGAAGGTGAAGATCCGCAGCGACGGCACGCGCTACATCACCAAGCGGCCGGTGCGGGACCGCCTGCTGCGGGAGCGCGCGCTCAAGATCCGCGAGGAGCGCAGCGGCATGACCACGGACGACGACGCGGTGAGCGAGCTGAAGATGGGGCGCTACTGGAGCAAGGAGGAGAGGAAGCAGCACGTGGTGAAGGCCAAGGAGCAGAGGCGGCGGCGTGAGTTCATGATGCAGAGCCGGCTCGACTGCCTGAAGGAGCAGCAGGGGGCCGACGACAGGAAGGAGATGAACATCCTCGAACTCAGCCACAAAAAGATGATGAAGAAGAGGAATAAAAAGATATTTGATAACTGGATGACAATCCAAGAACTCTTAACCCACGGCGCAAAATCGCCAGACGGCACTAGAGTATACAATTCATTCCTCTCGGTGACTACTGTATAATTTTCACTTCTGCATTATGTACATAAAAGAACACTACCGTTGGGGTAGCAATTCCTGCCTCGTTCAATGCGGCAAGTTTTTGTATATAAGATAAATCGCAACATCATGTTTATAGTCAAACTAGCGAGCCCTACCACTCTGGATGTCAGCTCTATTTTAAGTGGCGAAAACCCCCCCCTTAACTACTGTCCTGGAAGGCAATATTAACCCAACAGCTTTTTTTCAAACAGCAAGGATACTTTTTTACTCGTTACCTTTTACATAAAGTTTTTAAATTTCAAAAAGATCTTTTACTAAGCATACCTTCACAGAATAATTTGTTTAAACTATATTCATATAAGAAAGTTAAACACACTTTTTTCCTTTTCTGCTAAAAACACAGATATGACTGCCGGTATGTATTTTAATGGAGCTCTATTTTATGATGTTACTTTGCTGAATGTGTTTCATAGGAGTGACCATTAATATATTATTTAGGTCAAAGCTTCAACTCAAAACCACCAAACTCTGTGGTTAACTATATATAACGCACATAACCAAACCAGCAGTGTTTAGAATTCGGATACACATTTTAACAGTTTTCTGGTTAAAGTTCCCAAGAGAGTGTAAAGGTTTTAACAGAAGGCAAAATATAATGCAACTTTGTGGGAGTTTACAGCATGTTTGCAAATACTGCAACTCATTGGAGGACTTTGCATGTACAGGAAAGTTGTGGATGGAGAAGGTTTGTGGAATTTTAAGTGCTCATTGTAGTAAAAACCTTTGCTTTGTAGATTCAAAGGGAGACTTTTACAAGCAAATTCACAGAATCATGATTAGTTATAAACAGTTAAGTAAATGAAGTTAAAATAAATTATTATTTTCTATGTTTTGAAGTGTTCCTCATTTTGCAGTGGTGCCTATAAAATAAAAGCCTTTTTTGCAGTGTTTCCTTCTTTCCTTCATTGTCTTACCTGATGCTTTAGAAGAATCTGAGTGTTTCAGATCATCCAATACCTTCATCCTGTCTGGAATCCAAAGACAGAAGTACGATCAAAGTCTGTTAGGAAGAAAAAAAAAAGGAATCAAACACTCACCATTTAATCTAGCTTTCTGTCATTTCTTGCAGAAAGCCTCAACTTGACCCAAGTCTATCCTACAGACTTGAATGAGCAAGTTTATCAACCAATATCATGTTTACAATTTCTTTGAAATTTCTTTGGTTTCTGGCAACCATTACTGCCAGTCAGTAATAGCTAACATCTCTTGAGATGTTGGATTTCTAAGACACATCTGCAAAATCTATATTTCCATAGAATAACAAGGTACACCAAAGTAGGTGGGCTTCAAAATTGGTATCTTTCAGACTCCAACAACCCACAGGATTCTACATAATGAATTTGCTACAAACTGTTCCCTGATTATAACATTCACACAAATTTCAGCTACACTACCTCCTGAAAAGACACATGAATGAATGAGATTATAAAGAGTATCATTTTCACTTGTCTTGATGCCAGATAATTTCTCACTGAAACTTGAAGTATCCAGGTGTTAGGTGTCTAAGACTTAGATTCCTTCAACACACCCTGTTTGAACCAAAGTTCCTCCCTTGCAGTCAGAATCTGAAGACTAATTAGTAGTCATACTTCCATTAGAACAACCTAATGAAGATAAGACACTGATATCTTAATGGGGAGGAATAAATATATCTGTTCATTACCTCTGCAAGACCAGGCATTGCAAAGATCATTACCCCTGCTACGTGAGTTTTTGCAAAAGGTGGACTATTGGCACCATGGTTTTCCAATACTCTCCAATGTCAAGTTCCAACAGATTGGATCTTTGGCTCCAGGTCTCTTACCTCACATCTTTCCTCACTAGTTCATGTGTTACCAAGAATCAGAACAGTCAGATGGATTACAAATTGCTGTGAGACATACACAGGTTTCGTGTAAGAGTTAAACGCATGGGTTTACCTGCCTCATGCGTTATCACTGAAGACCAGACTGTTATATGTGGCCATGAGGAGGGCAGACTTCTGATTCTCCGTAACAGCCACTCCCCTGCATGGGTGACTCAATTTTATTCCTAAGATATAAAGGGAAAGAAATGAGAACTTATTGATTACCTAGTGTTACTTTCAACACAGTAGCCACTAGCTACAGCTGGCTATTAAACACATAAAAATATGGTTAGTCTAAACCAAACTGTTCTGAGAAAATGGCTTTCAAAGACTTAGTACTAAAAAAAAGACAAAATATTTCAGTAGACCCAACACTTTATTTCTACTGGCTAGCACCAATACAGACCAGCAGGCATGTGTGTGCAGAACACGTGACCTCTCCCAATTCACAGGACAGTGATGCCAGGCAGATGGCCTTGTCAACAGTTCAGATTAAGAACAGTGTCCAGATGAGTGTGGGGCTGTCATCTAAGTTTGCGCCCCCGATACCCAACCCTTTACCTTTCCCCCTCTGCCTCCACCAGCTTCTCAAGAAGTAATTCTCTGGGTTGAGCTACTCCTCGTAGCCTAAGTCAACATCATGATAAAAGGAACTGCTTCAAAGTGACAGGCATTTCACTCGGTTCCCCCTGGAGTTTTAAGTGACAAAATATTCTAACACCACTGGCAAAAACATATGACATAAAAATCTAGGAACTGGGGGCACTAATTAAGCTTTTCATCTTTTAAATGAAAACAGGATGCCCTAAAAAGCAAGAACCACAAATGTGATGTGGTAGGACTGTACACTGCCAGGGGAAAGCTAGTTAGAGAACTAATGAGGATTATAAACTAAACTTAAAATTAACCAAATACATTATCTAGTTGGAGTCTAAGTAGGTTACAGGTTACTTGTTAGCAAAATTGCCTAGAACCGAAGCAGCAAATAATTCTGCCAGAAGCAACCACAACTCCCACTTTTATTTCAGCTTCCCAATTGTTTTAAGTGCATTAAGATTTCTGCAGAGCATCAACTAATTAAAAAGAAATCACTAAAATGGAGATAAGATGCAAGAATTCTCATGGCTACTGCTGTACTCTTCAATTTTGATTAAACATGAATTCCCTAAAGCAGTCAGAAAACAAAGTGTGGTTCTTTGAATTTTGTTCAGATGGGTTTTCCTGCTTACATGATCCATTTTTCTTAGCTTCCAGTTTGAACTAATCCTGAAAGGGCAGGGGCCATGGGGCCGTGTGCTCTGCCTGTGGCCTGGTACTGCCTTTCAATGGCAGAAAGCTGACCTCAGTGCACTCAGCATCTTTTTAAAATGAAAAATGAGAAATTAATGATCCTTACTTGAATGGGGCTATTGCAGAGTTACATTTGCTTACCAATTTGATAATTCTAGAAAAAGTCCTCAGAAACCAAATGAAACTCCCCAGATGTCAGAGCCTCTCAAAAATATATCAGGATTAAACTGAACTGTCTGTTCATTCCTCCTCCTCAGCTGCCACTGCAGACATTATGGGTTTGATTTGAAGAATCATCACTATCTCTGTGCTCCAGGCGCTGTGTCAGAAACCAGCACGGATTTGTTCAGCCAGGAGTTTTTGTGCCCGCTGTGTTTAAGGTCATAATGAGTTCTCATGGAGCTCTCCTCAGTTGAGTTCAGTCACTCAGTTGTGTCCGACTCTTTGCGACCCCATGGACTGCAGCACACCAGGCCTCCCTGTCCATCACCAACTCCCAGAGCTTACTCAGACTCATGTCCGTCGAGTCAGTGATGCCATCCAACCATCTCATCCTCTGTGGTCCCCCTCTCCTCCCGCCTTCAATCTTTCCCAGCATCAGGGTCTTTTCTAGTGAGTCAGTTCTTCTCATCAGGTGGCCAAAGTATTAAATGAAAAAAGAAAAGAAAAATCCAATCATCACACCAATACTTTAAACATATCAACAAGGTTGGGGTGGAAGGCAGATAGGAGAGCAAGTGCTGGATTTCAGGGAGGGTCTCAGAGTTACGGTTGAGCTGAGAGCCAGTGGATGGATGTAGGTTAACTGGGAAGACAAGTCATATCTGAGGCAAGGCAAACCATGTGTGTGAAGGCCCAGGGCTGGGCCCGCTTTAAATAAACATGGTTTGCTTCAAACAAACCAGTGTACTTGACAGAATGATGGGTAGTGAGAGTGGGAGGACAGGTAGGAGCCAAACAGTTGAGGACTCTGGTTCAATTTTACATATACAAGCCCACTCAGCAAAGGATCGGCAAGTCAGCCACTCAGAGTAAAAAACCTGCTTGGGTCGAGTAGCAACGTGGTCCGCCCTCCCCTCTCCCCTCCCTTCATATACAGACGCAACACATCGGAAGGGAGATGCACAGACACAGAGAACAGTGGAGGACGTCAAGGCGGAGGGAGTTGAGAGAGCGATGGAGTAGGAGGTTGGTGTTATCAGATATAACCTTTTATATATAGAACAGAGAAGCAACAAGGTCCTACTGTATCACACAGGGAACTATACTCAATTTTTCCAGTGGAAAAGAATATTTTAAAGAACATACCCACACACACACATATATATAACTGATTCACCTTGCTGCACAGCAGGAATTAACACTGTAAATCAACTATACTTCAATAACAAAAGAATAGAGCAGCCACTGTAGGAAAAAATTTTAATAAACTTCGTTTTCCCCTCTCTCTTTAAAAATACTTAGAGAGAGAGGGGAAAATGAAATTTGGATGCCCAGGAAACAAATTATACGTGTATCACCTGAGCCTGGAGACCACTCAGGGCATGGCCCAAGCCTACACTAGTGCTCCGTATAAAATATTTGTGTCCCCGGGAAGCCTAATCCCTAAGGTGATGTATGAGAGGATGGATCCTCTGGGAAGTGATCAGCTCATGAGGCTAGAGTCCTCGTGAATGGGGTCAACACCTTATGAAAGAGGCCCTCCAGAGACCCGCCCTCCACCATGCAATGAGACAAGAACACCACCCACTGCGACCCCAAAGAGGGCTGCTCCGGCACCTGAGCTTCCTGACACCAGGGTCTCAGACGTCCAGTGCTCAGAGAT